CTTGTGGGGGGCTTGCTTTTTAAAAAACATGCGAAGTGTGGTTGCGTCCCTCCCTATGGGAGTCGGGCCAGCGTCCCTCTGGGCGGATCGGGGTAACCAGGGCCCCCCTTTCCCGGTGCCAAGCGGAGCTGTTTGGGCTGGCTGCCGAGGACGTCTACCTAGTGCATGACGAACTGGACAAGCCTCTGGGGAAACTGGCTCCGAAGCTGGGGGGCAGTGCCAGGTGAGGCCCTGAGCTGGCAGGGTGGGGCAGGGATCCTGCCTGCCAGGAGGGTGGAGGAGGGCTGCTGACCCCGTCTCTGCGGGGGACGGGCCACTGCGACCCAGCCTGGGCAGGCAGGGGTGGAGAGTGCTGACCCTGCAAAGCTGTGACTGGCCCCCTCTATCCCTTGAAGGGGCCACAACGGAGTCCGTTCCTGCATCAGCTGCCTCAACTCCAGTGTGAGTCTGCCCCTCTGTCCTGCACGGGCAGGGTGGGCCATGGGGGTCCCCCAATGCCTCACCAAGGCTCCCTGGCCCTCCTGTTCCCACAGGCAATGCCAAGGCTACGGGTGGGCATCGGGCGCCCAGTCAGTCCCGAGGCGGTCCAGAGCCACGTGCTGGGCTGCTTCTGCCCCGCCGAGCTGGAACAGCTGCCTCTGCTGCTGGACCAGGCCACTGACCTGCTCCTGGACCACATCCGCGAGCGGAGCCAGGGGCTCCTGTCAAACCCCTGACTCCAATGGCCACGGCTGCCCGCCCACACCCGGCCACAGCCACAGAGCTGCCACGCCAGCCTCGGTATCCACTTTTTATACATAACTCTCCTCTGGGCCGCTCCGGGCCAACTGTGGCTCAAAAGGGGCACAGGGCAGTGCAGCCGGGCTGGTCCGCTTCTGGCGTCGGGGTCGGCCTTCTCTCCGGGCCTACTTGGGACGTCGGGGAACTTCAGGAAGACTGAACTTTTTGAGCTTTGGGGAATGGCAGCTGTGAATCTGTGAGATTAAAGATGCCTGCTTGGAAGCCGAGGGCTCCTTGGAGCTCCCACCCTTCCCCTGCCGGTGGGGAGGGACAGTGGTGTCCATGAACCCCCCTCCAGGGGATGCGTGGGCGTGCCTTAGCCCCCAAAGCCTGACCACACCTTTCTTCAGCCTGTTTTCCAGATGGAAGGCTCAGAGAGGTCCAGCCACACCCCCAAGGCCACACCTTTCATGGGGCCTGCTGCACCCTTGTCTCTGGGGCCCCTGGCCCCTTCACCTCAGGGTTGCTGTATGCCCGGAAGGTCCCCACACGGGTGGTGTGTGAGAGCAGTCTGAGGTCCTGGGGGTTGGCTGGGACGTGGGCGCGTTGAGGCGCCAGGACTAGATCCCCGGGCGGGCGGGCTGTGATGTCAGACAGCTGCTGCAGCAGAGACCCTGCCTTGGGCAGCTGGACTCCGGGCTGGCTGTGGGGAGGAGCTGAGGTCAGACTTCAGAGAGCGGGTTTCTGCCTCGGGGTCAGCTGAGGACAGCCACTGGCCCGGTCCCACCCCTGTGGCCTCTGAGGCCACCTGCTCACCCCTGCTTGGGCGGGCCACAGGACCGCGGCTTCCAGCAGGGACGCACGGCCCTCTGGGGTCTCAGGGCCACAGCAGAGCGCAGCATGGCCAGCAGGCGCTGCAGCCTCTCCTTGTGCCGCAGCTGGAAGGTCACATCGAATCCACCGTCCTCTTCATCTGCTTGCATCTGTTGGGGGCGGGCGGGACCAGGCTCATGGCAGCTGGTGCCCACCCGCCCTGGGGAGCTCCAACCCCTGGGCCTGTTTCTGCAAAGGGTCTCCTGGCTGTGGTGCAAGACCGTTCTCCAGCTGGGAAGACTGAGGCCTGAGGCCTTCTGGAGCCTCACAGAAGGAGTCTTTGGAGGGGCCGCTGAAGTCCCGAGTCAGAAAAGGACAGACTTCCCGGAGTCTCGTGGGGGAAGGGGCCTCGGGGCTGCTGGCGGCCCTGTGCCCTGCGAGCAGCTGCCCCGGGGTGGGCCCGCCGCCGGCGCCCTCCCTCCCCGCTCGCCTGGAGAACGTCCTCCAGGAAGGAGGCGGCCTGGACCAGGGCCGCCTGCAGCCTGGCCTGAAGCTTCTGCTCGTCCTCCAG